TTTCATCACCAAAATAATCCTATGAAATAAGTACTGTTATTATCCCATTTTATAGATGAAGAAACTGAGACACAGAGCGATTAAGTAACTTGCCTAAGGTCACACAGTTATCAAGCAGCAGAGCTAAGGGGCAAAGTCTTTTTCATAACCACTTTTCTATATTTCCTTCCCTGTGATATCTGAAGTCTCCACCATTAGAGAAGCATTGTTTTCATTCACTGTTAACAATCAATGATGGTAACATTATTAAAGTATTAATAAGCATCAGGTACTGTACTAAACATTTAACATATATTGTTTTATCATTTAACCTTTACAACAACTATCTTCATTTTAGGAAGAAGAAGCTGAGAATCAGAGAAGTTAATTCATTGCTCATGGTCACACAGTGAGCAAGTGGCAAAGCTCTGATTTGAAACCAGTTCTGTCTGCAGAGCCCACATTCTTTTTTTTAATGTTTTCTTTTTTTAATTTATTTTGTGAGAGAGAGGCAGCGTGAGCTGAGGAGGGTCAGAGAGAGGGAGACACAGAATCCGACGACAGTGCAGAGCCCACATTCTTAACTGGTGTACTATACTGCTCTCCACAAAGTGGTGATGCAGTTAACGCAATGTGACAATGAGAGATCTGGAGTTAAAAGCATACATTCTGGAGCCAGAATGCCTGGGTTTAAATTTGCTTGACAACTTTCAAGCTTTTGTGACTCTGAATCATTATTTTTATTTATAAAATGAGGAGGATAGTGGTACCTATCTCTTAGAGCTGTGGCGAGGATTAAATGGATTAATATAAGAAAATACTTGGAAGAATGCGTATCACATGGTAAGCACTATATAAGTATTGGCTATGACTAGCATTATTCTTTGACAAGAAGTAGCCACCAGCCATTTGATTTGTGAATGTCTATCAGATGTTAGCCAGCTTGCCACCCAGCAAAGCTCTGATAAGCTGTGCTATCGGATTTGCAAGGGGTCATGGTGGTATGGAGAAGGGTATTCCAGGCAAAGGCATGAAGGTCAGAAATAGCATAGAGTGTTTGAAATTGAGGCACACAAGGTTCTCAAGACAACTGGGGCAAGACATATAAGGAGAGTGTTCAAAGCAGAAGTCACATCATATAGAATCTTACATGCCACACACAAGGATTTAGACTTGACCCTTTGCAGAGATATAGAATGTTTCAAGCAGGAAAGGGACGTGACCCGCTTTGCATTTTGGAAAAACATCACTCTGGCTGAACTAGGGCTACTAGTAGCAGTGGGAGTGGAGAGGAAGGACTGGTGTTGGAGAGAATTAGGAGGTGACATTCACAGGGCATAGTGAGTGAGTGAATGTGGTAGGGGAGGGTAGAGAGAGGAATGTAAGATGACTCCCAGGTTTCTGGCTTGAGTGTCTTGGGGACTAGTGGAGCAATTCACTAAAAGTACACAGAAAGAGAAGGTGGGGAGGGGGGAGGAATAGAGATAATTGACCTAGTTTGGGACATGTTGAGCTTTAGGTGCCTTTGAAATACCCAGATGAGATAACCAGTAGGCAGATGGATATATGTGTCTGAATCTAAGGGAGAGATGTAGACTGAAGATAAAGATTTTAGAATCAGCAATGTTGTATTTAAAACCACAGGATTGGTTGAGATTATGTAGTAAGAGTGTACAGAGCACAAAAAGAGAAGGGGCAGGGAAATAACCCTAGGTCAAAGCAACATTTAAGGGTTGAGCACAAAAAGAGGGGCTGGTGATAGAGCCTGGGATGGAGCAGCCAGAGAGGAAAGAAAAGAATAAAGAGGAAAGGTTTTTGTTGGGAATTGGGGTGAAATTTTGCTAGTGTTTAGATGACATTTGTCCATAGTACTTGGGCATGTTCAAGTCCTTCACAGCCAGTCAGGTTTTTCCCATCATGGGATTTCCTAGGGAAAGATTTGCAAAGAACAGTAGGCAAATGGGGGACAAAATATCACTTAATAGAAAATCTGAAAATTCATTGCATGGCTTTCTAGGAAAGTTGAGTTTGCATACATAGCTTAGGTCATAGGCCTAAGTAGGGTTTCTATCTCCTTCTAGAACCTATCACTCTCTGGGTAAACCTGGAGGAAGCTGTAAGAACAACTGAGCCAAGGGCAAATTCTGTGACCCCTTGTCAACATAGCTGCCTGAAAGAGTGGCGATAGAAGATAAAGAACCCCCGTTTAATCAAAGAGAGAAAATAAACGGGAGCAGAAGAGGCACCAGAGAAACAAAGAGGAAACCTGTCTAGAGAGGGAAGAGAAAATCCCAGAGTGTGGAGAGTTTCAAGAGAGTGAAAAGCCGTTAAATTTTGATAAGGCAACAGAAAAAATTGATGGACTTCTCTCCTCATTTTCATTTCCAGTCCTTACCCCCCAGCACTGTGGTACCTACAGTAGAACAAACTTTCATAATAAGCTTAACTGTTCTTTGCATGCACCCTTGGTTTTCGAAGCTGGTGCAATGTGGGGCTCTGACGTACAGCCTGAACTGACTCCTTGCATGTTAGAAGCCATAGAGGAGGAGTTGTAAACTGGTAGTTGGCAGACATGATTTATTTGACCTGACCTGTGTTTGCCATGATAAAAAAAAAAATCAGGAAAGTACACATTAAAAAATCTGGATTTCTCTCGAAAAATAAGGAAATGTGACAAAGCTAAGCCTGCACCACGAATGGTCACAGGTCGTGGTTGTCATCTTTAGATAGACATGTGCTGTTTAATTTGCTGCATCCTTCCCTATTGCTTTACACCCCGGCTGCTTCACTCATTTATGCCAATAGCCTGGCATTTTCCAAGCACAGGACTTTGGGAAAACACTAACAACTCATAGAGAAGCATGCATTTGAGGAGGAGTTGGCAAACCTCTTCTGCAAAGGGACAGATGGTAAATAATTTAGGCTTTGTGGGCCATGTAGTCTCTGTATCAACTACTCAACTCTGCCATTGTAGTGCAAAAGCAGACACAGACATATTTGTAAAGCAATGGGATTGGCATAAAACTTGATATATGAACTCTAAAATTGGAATTTCATATAATTTTCATGGTCATGAAATATTATTTTTTCATTTCTTAAACATTAAAAAATATAAAAAGCACAAACATTGTTAGCGCCCAGGCCACACAAAAATAGGCTGCTTGAGCAGGTTTGACTGCTAGTCTGTAGCTGGCCAACTCTTGACCTAGAGAATCCATATGATTAACATGGTAGATGGCATATAGATAAGAGGCTCCCTTCTCCCAGTTAGGACACATGATCATGCATATAAACTGGGAAAATACGATTATGGCGATAATAAAGACAAGACTGGCTTGAGGACATGATTTTGGTTGAATAGAGGTAGGATACGACATGGATTTGGCTTTATAAACAACCTCTACCCTCTACAGAAGTCCCAAAGCTATTAGAATGATCAAGTAGCCAGGCTGACTCATCTGAATTAGGATGGGTCCAAGGGATAGTTGTGTGTAGAGCTGGGGATGGGAAGAAAAAGGCTTTCTGAGGAAGGCCTAGTTCAACCTGGGCTGGAGTTTATTAAATGAGTACATGACAGAGCACACACACCTTATGATCAGCAATGCATCCTGGAGACCTTGTCAGAATCAACTAGGGTGCTGGCTGGGGAAAGGTATGAACAAGCACCGAAAGATGTTCCCACACCTCTATGTGGAGATGGAAATAAGAATGTTTTCTGCTATAGACTGAATATTTGTATCCTCTGCACCCCCCCATTCATGTTGAAATTCTAATCCCCAATGTGATGGCATTATGAGGTGAAGCCTTTGTGAGGTGACTAGGTTATGAGGGTGGAGCCTTCATGAATAGGATTAGTGACTTATAAAAGATGCCCCACTCAGTCAGTTAAGCGGCCAACTTTGGCTGAGGTCATGATCTCGTGGTTCATGAGTTCAAGCCCCGCATTGGGCTCTGGACTGACAGCTCAGAGCCTGAAGCCTGCTTCGGATTCTGTGTCTCCCTATCTATTTGACCCTCCCCTGCTCACGCTGTCTCTCTCTCTCTCAGAAATAAATAAATGTTAAAAAGATTTTTAAAAATAAAATAAAATAACTGATGCCCCAGAGAGACCCCTCATCCCTTCCATTATGTGAGGACACAGAGAGAAGGCACTGTCTAGAAACTGGGAAGTAGGCCCTCAGCGGACACTGATCCACTGGTGCCTTGATTGTGGACTTCCAAGCCTCTGGCACTGCGAGAAACAGACTTCTGTTGTTTATAAGCCACCCAGCCTATGGTATTTTGTGACAACAGCTCAAATAGATTATGACACTTTCCTTGTAGCTAACTTAAAAAAAACCTTGATCCCAATTATCAAAACAATACAAGGTAGAGTGGAAATGCAAGAAACATAGCATAGTATAAAAAAGCCCATAAAAGCATTCCTTCTTTAATGTTTATTTATTTTTGAGAGAGAGAGAAAGAGAGAGAGAGAGAGAGAGAGAGAGAGAGAGAGAGAGAGAGAGAGAGAGAGAGGGAGCAGGACTGGGTGTGGGGCAGAGAGAGAGGGAGACACAGAATCTGAAGCAGGCTCCAGGCTCTGAGCTGTCAGCACAGAGCCTGAAGCAGGGCTCAAACCCACGAACCTCAAAATTTTGACCTGAGCTGAAGTTGGACACTTAACCAACTGAGCCACCTGGGGAATCCCCATTCCCTACCTTTCTCCACCTAGATGCAGCCATTGTTCATGCTTTGTTCCTCTTTTCTCCCAGTGCCTTTAAACCACCTCTACATAGTTAAGAATTGTATATATTATTTTTAGCTTACTCCCTGCCCCACTTGATCTTAAAATGTTCTCCATATCATAAAGTTTTGCAAACATGCATACTACACTCCAGCATTGTTGAGCATTTGGGCATTCTCAAAGGTTTTGCTATATATATATGTGTGTGTGTGTGTGTGTGTGTGTGTGTGTAAAAGTACTACATACATATACTATTTGTAGTGATATATATATATATTTGTAATATAATATATATATATTACATGCAGCATGAATGCTTTATTAATAATCGCAGATCATCCCTATGAGCCAAATGGTCCACCCAGATATCCAGGACCCAGACACAAGGTGAGCTCAACCTCAGAGCTTCTCGCTCTGACTCCAAAAAGGTAAACATGTCGCCCTTGCGCACGGGGCGTTTCATGTTGCAGCTCGTGTCATCCATGAACTCCATCCACTGTCCCTGCAAGCTGGTCCTGCCCAGCACCTTGGTGACCCTGGCCAGCCTGATGGGTTGCATATGGCTGGTGTCCATGAAGACGGCTCCATGGCAGTTGGACAGAGCCCAGCTGATGTTTTAATTCCTAAATTTCTACATTTAAAATGATTTCTGTAGGGAAAATTTAGCTAGCGCTGGAACTATAGTGTCAAATGGTAAGTTCTTGCTACATATTTGTGTCTACAAAGTCGACAAAATTTGTGGTACTGATTTTAAGATCTATATGAGGATCTTCACTAGTGTATTCATTACCTTCACATTTTTCATTATCTTCCTTATTTGTAGTCATTTAACAAACATTTACTACCACTTACTGTATGCCAAATGCCTGAGGTGGATACAAAGAATCTAAAGATACAAACTGTGTTCTTTGGAGCTTAGTGTCTATCCAAAAAGACAAGACCCAAACACATCAAACATTACCAAATTCTGTTGGTAAGAATTTCCCTTACAGGTACACTTGCTAAAGTTCACCAGGAAGTATGAAGGACATTCCCTGCAATTTTGTAGTAGGAAAACAAAACAAACCACATGGACACAACTAACAAACACCACAACGAAAAACCTGGGAATTACCCAAAGGCTCACCAGTAGGGGACTCAATAAATAAATAAGTAAATAAATATTGGTGCCGTCATACACTTAAATGTTGGGGGATAACATTGGAAAGAATAAGTTAGAACTTTTGGGGTTGATACAAAAATATCTGTAATATATGTGTTTCAGAAGAAAGGGAAGCAAGAGTAGAGCCGTGGGTATAGTATCCCCTGTGTGTGTGTGTGTGTGTGTGTGTGTGTGTGTGAGAGAGAGAGAGAGAGACAGAGAGACAGAGAGACAGAGAGAGACAGAGAGACAGAGAGAGACAGAGAGAGAGACAGAGACAGAGAGAGAGACAAAAAGAGACAGAGAGAGACAGAGAGAGAGAGAAAACAATCCCTTATCTACTTTTCCTTAATCCCCAAAGCTTTGAAAACAGAATATTTTTCTCCCAAATTTGGCTTAGATTCATTTGGGGGAAAACCTGGTGTTTACTGACATGTGGCTATTTGTGGTCTTCATTTATTCCAAGTAGTGTGATTTTTCACTTTGCTCCATAAATTGTAATGTGAACATGTCTAATTTATGTCCCTGTTGTCCCCAACCCTGCTGAGGGAGTGACATGCTAAATGTTAAAGGCACTATATCACCATGCAAAAATCTTAAAAAATGCTGAATTCAACATATTTCTGCCCTCAAGGGTTTAGGATAAGCAATTATGCCCTGTAATATAGATACACATATGTATGTTAGTATATGTTACCTTCTTTTCTTTTATGGATGATACTACATGAAATATTTTAGAGTGATCTTTGAGAAAGAGATTAGGGATGGCAGGGAAAGGCTTTTGGTTTTCATTTGGTGCCTTCACAGTTTGAATTTTCTAACCTTTATATGTGTTTATATATATATATATATATATATATAAAGGGAAGCAATTATTTATATTGCTATATATTATATTTATATTCCCATATATATATGTATATATATATGTATATATATGTATATATATGTATATGTATATATATATATATATAAACGCCAGTGCAGTTAGGAGGGGGAAATTTTTGCTCAATTTGTTTCCTTCTTTGTATGTTTACATATTTATTTTTGTTTTTTAGGGTTTATTTATTTATTTTGACAGAGGGAGAGCATGAGAACATGAGAAGGGCAGAGAGAGAGAGGGAGAGAAAGAATCAGAGTCAGAGCAGAGCCTTGTGTGGGGCTTGAACTCACAAATCTTGAAATCAAGACCTGAGCCGAAATGAAAAGTCAGACGCTTAACCAACTGAGCCCCCCAGGTGCCCCTGTATCTCTCCATATTTAAAGTTGATATGAAAGTAACTAAATTTTGAAAAGAAATACATCTAAAACAAACAAAAGTAGCTAAAACAGGAGAGCAGTCTATGATAAGAATTAGGAGGTGCACATCCTGAAAGTCATACACATTTGGTAGGATGAGTGATCCCTGTAGCCTGTGAGAGCTACGGAAAACTTGCATGGAGGTGATGAGACTTACACTAGACCCGACACTCATGTTGAATTTGGTTGGTAGAGCTGATAAGGAGTTCAGATGGGGAACGTGGTCTCATAGAGGCAAGAAGGTGAGAACGAGCTCCTGTAATCTAGGGATTTAGGAGACCAAGTACCCAGAAGGTACAAATGCCAGAAGAGTGAATGGTGGCTTCATTTCTCACTTATATCTGACCCTGAGTGGTTTCCCAGCAACTGGAGGGTATGAAGTTACAGCTTGTCTCCTACTCCCAGCCACCTCCAACCCCCATTTATTCCCTTTTCCTCTCTCCCTTCATGGGCTTTTCATTAAATAGCTTCTCTTTTCAATTATTAGGACCCCAGCTGATGCTCTAGAAACAATTACCACTGACATTTCTGTGTATGCGAAAGATATGCAAAGAATCATTTTGGGTAGAGAAAGTTTTTGGAAATCGGGTAGTCCACCCCTCTTATATACTAGAAAGGGAATAAGAGGACATGAGAGATAAAGCATATTCCTTTCTTTTTTTTATTTATTTCCGAGAGAGAGAAAAACGGCATGAGCAGGGGAGGGTCAGAGAGAGGGAGATGCAGAATCCAAAACAGGCTCCAGGCTCCAAGCTAGCTGTCAGCACAGAGCCCGACACAAGGCTTGAACCCATGAACCATGAGATCATGACCTGAGCCAAAGTCGGATGCTTAACCAACTGAGCCACCCAGGCACCCCGATAAAGCATCTTTCTAAGTTGCATAGCCCACTGATAGAGAGCTTCAAATAAAACTGTCTTCCACCTTACAGACCAGTTTTAACCTACTCTTCTTCCTTTTGTATTTACTGGTGGTACAATTGTTTCCCAGACTAGCCTGTGATCTGCTAAGACTCCAGCACGTTATTGATGTCCAGAAAAGGGGAAACAAACATAAAAGCTATAGAACTGGGTGGTCACTAGAGAACCATCATGCTTGTGCGGATGGGAGCCTGATTACTAGTGAGTTGCCATGGCAACATCTGGGCATGCATTTCAGGCTCAAGGGAGAAGATAGAATTCTCACATTCTGCCTGGCCTCTCATTCCTGTCAAGATGGGATTCATCACTCAAAGCGCGTGGACCTCCGACTGTCAAGTGTGTGTCGGGGGCGTGCAGGAAGAGGGTGATGGGAAGGTGGACATTCTTTTCTTCCTGTTTGCAATGTCTTCATTTTTGAAGGTGAAAGGAGGGAAGGAAGGAAGGAAGGAAGGAAGGAAGGAAGGAAGGAAGGAAGGAAGGAAGGAAGGAAGGAAGGAAGGGAGGAAGGTAAAAGGGAGGGAGGCTGTGCCCTGTGCCGGAGGCCACAGGCACAAGGAGAAGGAAGGGAGGAAGGGAGGGAGAGAGGGAGAAAGGGAAGAAGGAAGCTAGGGAGGGGAGAGGCTTTTTTTCCATTGGTATTTTGCTTGCAACAAAACACTTTGCTGTCATTAACCCTTTCTAGTCTGGAAAAATTGTTCCCAGCTGTATCTTTCCTTGCAAATCCGGCTCTCCTTAACTCTTCTCTCCTGATTTCATATGCTGCAGTAGATGCCATCAATGGTCTGACATGGCTGAGAGATTCATAAACTTTTGTAGCAAAAATAAATCTTGTTTTTCTTAGAGGGCTCTCCTCACCTGGAGCAAAACCCAACAGTCAGGGTCAGCAGTGAAACAATAAATTTAAATGAGGACAGGTCTGGGCGGGGGAGGTTGGCAAGGTTCTGGCTTGGATTTGAATTGCTTTGGGATCCTAAAGTAGGGAATGGATCAACTTTAGCTCAGACCTCACAAGCCTCACTCTCCTAGCCCAGCCTACGTGCCTTGCCAAATCTCAGTGGGGTTCTGAGAAGGAGAAATTGTGGCCTTGGAAACTGAGAGTATACCACATGGTCATTTTGGGGGGAGCCCAGAGTGATGATCTAGAAGGCATGATGATCTAAAGTGGGCAGGGTAAGGAAGCAGAGCAAAAGGTTGTTGATAGATCTGAGTGCTGGGTGGTGCTCTTCTAGTGACAAGGCTCAGTTGTTCAGTCTGAGAGGTGGGAGGGATGATGCTATCAGCCTGAGTTTCTACCTTTCTCTGTCACTGACCTCTGAAACAGTGAGGACAGTCTGTCTATTCCCTTTACTCCACACACACTAGGGTTCCTTTGCACCTTCCATTTCCACGATTTCCTCTGCTTGTGTTTCCCCCTCCTGTTTCCTTCTGCTTAGCCAAATTCTAGTATGTGATTCAAAAGCAAATTTCTATTTCCTCCATAGATCTTTTCTTATTTGCCTCAGCCCATGATAGTTACCCGTTATGCAAAGCTCACTTTGATTTTTCACTACATAGTTAATATCTCTGTGCCTTGATGGCATGGGTGAAGAAAACAATAGCACCCACCTCTTAGGTTTCTTATAACCACTAAATAAAATAGTGCATTTTGTAAGTATTTAAGGGTGCCTGCGTGGCTCAGTCAGTTAACTGTCTGACTCTTGATTTTGGCTCAGGTAGTGATCTCTCAGTTCATGAGTTTGACCCCGCCTTGAGCTCTGTGCTGACAGTGTGGAATATGATTGGGATTCTCTTTCTTTCTCTCTCTCTCTCAAAATAAATAAATAAACATTAAAAATAAGTGTTTAACAGGGCAGATTCTGAAACATAGTAAGTGCTCAATAAGTCATATCTGTTATTATTATCATAGTGGGGCATTACATAGTCCCTAGTTAAGACCACCGTACATCACTCGATGTGGTGCAGAGTAATGGCATTGAAAGCAGCAGTTAAGGTATCTACTTGTGCTATGGATACACAAGAGAATCCCTTGCCTCCCAGAATAGGTAAAAAATAATAGTTAATGTTCATTGAGTGCTAACCGTGAACCAGGCAAAGTTCTAAGTGTTTTACTTGTACTAACTTGTTGAATCTTTATAAAACCAAGCATTCAAGGCTATCATTATGATCTCCGGTCTCCTGATGAGCAAAGAGGCCCAGAGAGGTTGGGTAACTGGC